AGGACCACAGCGGCGAGCGCTACGACCCGGTCCGCGTCTACTCCAGGATCACTGACGCTCGTGCTCACTTCCGGACCCGCCAGGACCCGGGGAGGGCTGTGTTCCTTGGATTCGCTACAGCTTGGGAGGCGAGGAGAGCGGTTGCGAAGGCCAACTTGAGTTGGCCGGATGCCCAGCAGTGACGAGGCCGCCGAAGCGGCCGACGAGGAGGCGGACGAGAGGGCCCTCGAGGACGAGGGCGAGCCGTCGGACCTGCGGGAGAACTTGATCGTCAAGGGCGCTGTCGTGGAGGCCGAGTACCCCTTGGGAGTGCTAGCAGTCGGAGAAGGCGCTGAGCGAAAGTTTGTTGCTGCCTGCGCCGTTGGGGAGAGCGCCGACGGTTCTGTGATTGTGGCTTTCCCGGGGAAGTGCTGGAACCGTGCCGCTGCTAAACGAGTAGTTGGCCTAGACTTTGTGAGGAAGGTTTCTGCTGCCCGGGTTAGATGCGCTAGTGCTGAAGATCGTGACCGGCCGCTCGAGGGCGACCTCAGGATTTGCTTAGGGCTTCTTACGGCCGAGGGAGAGGCCGCCTTCGACTTCGCCAAGGACTTCGACACCGAGATCGAGATTCACTTCAGCTTCGGCACCTCCGAGCAGCCAGAGCTACTACCCCACGCCGGCTCCTTGGCCGAACTGGCCCGGGGCTCCTTCGAGTTCCTCACCGCCGAGTCCGGCGTGCCCGAGCAGCCAGAGCCCCCTGTTCGGTCAAAGGGGCCCGACCTGGAGAAGAGGCTCAATAAGCTGGAGGGATGTTTCGAGTCTATCCAGGCGGACCTCAAGAAACTGGTTTCGGCAAAAGCCGAGGCAGGCGCCCCTTCGGCCGCTTCAGACGGCCGGACAAAGGCCAAGACGGCGCCGAGCGTCCCTGCCCGAAAGCCGGTGAGCACAAGCTTAGAGGGCATGGATCCGGGCGTGGTTCGGGCGGCTTTGGACTCAGGCATCGACCTCAAGCACATCGAGGAGATGGGGAGGTTTCTTCGAGGGCAGGGAAAGCCAACCGCAGACGAGCCCCGCGCCACGGCCAAGGCTCGCTTTGCTCGGCAGA